ACAAAATACTAAAATAAATTTCAAACAATAAAAAAAACAATACGACAGAAATTCATACTAAAAAACAATGAACATAACATTCTACAAATAAGAAAAAAATAAATAAAATGCACTTACCATTAATGCTTTCGAACAGCAGAAGTACCAATTTAATATCGCCTTTAACATGCCGCCCGTAATCACTATCATATTTATATTACAGCCAGACACCTATCCAGAAATCATACTATGGTTCCAAATAAATAAAATAATAATCAAAATCCCTACTCCATCATGCACAGCCCTAAAAAATCCCCAGAACCTCTTTCCACACCTCCAAATACCACGCCCTAACAGATGGCCACGACGATATTTCCTTTTGCCGAACTTAATTCAACAACTTCCACCATTTTAGCTTCTCAGACACAGAGCATGATGCGAACCAACGAACTCCGGCGAAAGATTTTTCAATGTCAACAGGGTTGCCATACAACACGCAATCGCACCAAAAACCAGCGCAGAACACATATGGCCACATTTGGTGAAATTAGGGCGTATATCAGAGTTGTACCAATGTAAGTTGTTTAAGCTGCTTCATTTTTTGTGCTAATACTTTCTCTTTAATTCTATAAACAGACATCATTTCTTGTTCAGTTTCACTGTTCAAGTCCTGTAATTGCCGTGTCGAGAATATCGACTAACTCGTCAATCAAAACTTTTTCGTTTTCAATAACCTCTCTGTCACTTTCTTCACTACTGGAAGTGGTACATCGAAACATGTTTTTGCTTTGTGATCCTTTGGCAGCTCCAGAATCGGAAACTTTTTTAGACATAATCAAAAGTTCAACCTTAATTTTTATAAGACTGCTCTAACCATCTGCAAAAAATAATAAGCCAAATCTAATTAGAAGATTACGGAACAGCACAATCTACAAAATTAACTGAAATGCCTTAGAATCAGTAAAGATAATTTTAGCCTAGCTTATAAAGTCCGTTATACATTAAACGCGCATGCTTAAAGCAGACCAAAAGAAAAAAGGTTTGTGGCTTTCAGGTCAGAATTATAGATCAATCCAGATAATGGAAGTCCTGATTACAGACTTTGTACTGTATCAGGTTTAAGTGTTATACTTTGTGAAATCAATATGCCTAAAAAAACATATATTTCTTTTGAACTGGTTGAATACCACAATTTCGTTTTTGATTTTTCGTCTGTAAGGTGTTGGTTCATATACTGGTCTACAAAACGGTTAGTTTCAGTAACAATACGAAGCACGAGCAGTTAATCAAAAAATAATTCCAAAAAGATAAATGGGTTTGAATCTTTCTTTATTCCTGGAACCTACTACAAAAAGTAAACGAAAACGGAGGACACAGAATTAAAAACAAAAAAAAGTTTTATTCAACCAATATCAGCCAATACAACGCAGTCATTACTTTCACCGCTTTAAACGCATCCCTCTCTCCAATTTCTCCCCACACTTCTCTGAAATAGTATCCTCCTTCACATATTTTGTCAAGGTCATGGTGTTGCATTCCAAAGCTTTTCGAATAATTTTATGTATAGCAGTGCAAAGCAAATGATAGCATTTTGGAAGGGCATATATATACGCCCAGGGCAGTTAATGCATCGGCTGAGCAAGGCATAGCATTTTGGAAGGGCATATATATACGCCCAGGGCAGTTAATGCATCGGCTGAGCAAGGCATATATATACACCCGCGGCAGTTAAGGGGTTAACAGCTCTTAAAAAATCTAGTCATGGTTATAGAACTTTCCTAAGTTCTAACATGTGGCTCTTACCAACAAGATGTTCGATTCCTGTGCTATATGCTTTTGATTTCCTGTAGTGATAATGTTGTTCCATACTGATGTTAATTTATGTTCTCAGAAATACTGGTTTACTGCTAATAGTATATGACGAAGGCTTGCAAAGCTTATTATGATAAGAGCCGCAAATTTTAAGGTTTTCAGATACTGCAAACAAAATTTTCCAATTAACGGAGTTTGGGAAGAAATGTATATTAAAAAATTTTCGTTGTGACGACAATGCCCCCATAATCTATCAGCTAATGGATGGTGAAATCCGTAGCAAGTTTCTAAATCCAGAAAATATCACTAATGATAGCGAAGCAAATGCCACAGATGTTATTAAGAGTAAAGATTTTCTGATTTAAAGTTCAATGGGAATTCTTGACACAGCAATTATAAGACTCTAAGAATAGAACTTTAACTGAATAAGAAATTATGTCTCTAGAATTAACACACAAAAAAAAGCAACTTGGATTTACATTGAAAGAAATCTCTACATATATTAAAAGAAAGAGTTTGTCTGTGTGTCTTTCGTACGTGCTGCATGTAAGCTAATAGATACGAAATTTGGTATACAGGCGTACCTAGATAAGAGCCAGTGCACCTCAAAGCAATTTTTTCAAAATTCAAATCCGATTTTTTTTAAAAAATTTTATCGAAAAGTTTGAATAGTTTCATTCTTTTAGAAATGATTTTGGCAACAATTTTTCATTCACTGCTTTGTATACTGGACTGCTGACTGTTAAAATACGAGATAAAACACTGCTTTTCTTTTGACTTTTGGACACGCAAGATGCAGATCGCAATCTTCTTGTTCTGACATGCATGCGTCTCATGTGACACAACAGAATTTCCTTTCCCCCCTCTCTTTATTAGCTAATGGCAAAAAGACTTGTATATTTTGAATTATGTCATGCGCAAAGCACAATTTTGATTGTTATTGCTTTCTGATAATTTCATTCTTTTAGAAAGGTGGTTTTGACAACAGCGTTTCATTCATTGCTTTGGATACCGGACTACTGACTGTTTTCTCTTGAAAATATCAGATGTATTGCTTATTTCCTTGTAATTTTTTTTAATTATGTTTTAATTATATAATTTTTTTTTTTAAGGAAATAGAGTTCTTAAGTTTCTTTATACCATTTGATTCTTAAAATTTTGCACGAGAATTGACTAATTTATTTATTAGGATAATTAATATTTGTATTAAGGGATATTGCTTATTTCATCATAATTTTGTTATATTAAATAAGTTTAAAAAATTTGTGTTTTTTTTGATAAAGTAAAATTCTATGTAGGTTTTAAATTTAATGTTTGGAGTTCCCTTTAAGCATTTTCCTGGTACATTTAAAAGCAAGACGAAGGCTAGCCGTGTAGCTGCTAGAGTTTAATAAAACAAAAAATAAATATATTGAACCTTTTTTTTTCTTTGTAAATTATGATTTCCTTAAAGTCATAAATGCTTCATTATTATCATGAAAAATCCCAAATCTGGATATCTCGGACTTCATACTATTCTTACATTTATCAGGCTCTCAGCAGTAATGGTTCCATCCTGATCACTTTTAAAGTTGGTTATCTTAAGGATGTACTGAGAAGGTTTGCCTGTATTAATAGACATCCAATGCCCAATGAAAAAACTAGAAGCTACACTTAAGACAGATCCATTATACATTTAACGAATGGCTATATGACTAAGAAGTTTTTGAAAGTGGAAATTTTAAAAACTTTTAAGACTTGCATATTAGCACAACCACAATAAAGTAATCTGATGTAAATTTGAGATATAAGAAGCCTTACGAGTAAATAACAAAACTTAAGGATATGAATACACTATAGGATGTAAAAGGGGGGATCGAGCTGGCGATGGGTGTTGATGGCTCAGGTTCAGTTTGGTTTATTTAATTACAGCAAAGTACTCAAGGACTATCTGCATCAGGGAAGGGATGCCCTCATGGAGAACTTTCTCAGGGAAACTAGCTTATATACATGCTACATGGGAAAAAAAAATGAAAAAGTCTATGTAGCTAGCCCATTTGCAGGATTCGAACCTTAGACTGAACTACCAATGTTCAGCGGCTTTAGAGCTCAGCCACTGGTGGACCTCAACTACACTAAAGAAGTCATGAAAATTTTCAGAAATATCCTGTAGCAATCATGGGTGTAACAACTACTCTTTAGTTTTAACAGGAAATGTTGCCTTTTTTGTATGTGTTCTATTTGTTGTAATGAAAGTTTCAATATTTTTACATACAAACCATGATACTCTTTAACTGAAATTCAACTTTAAATGTGAAATTTGCCTGTAATAGAAGAAACTGCAGTAAATTTTCTGCACAAATAAAGCTGTCACAAAATCGCTAAAGGGAACAATTTTAAATCTGTCCTTGAAGCAACAGTTACAGAATTTCCAACATATAATTATAATAATAATAATAAACACCAGTAAGTTACTTTACTAATTGATTTTCAGAATACATAATATGTATTCAGTACTAAATAATTCTGTGTAATTATAAATTGTCTTCTTTTACTTCTATAAAAAGTTACCATGTTAGTTATGCAATAATAAAAAGGTCCCCTTTAAAAAAATTTTAATTAAAATAAATATACACGCAAACTGTAACCAACTGTTAAAAGAAAATAAAGGAAAACTACATATTAAAAAAAAAAAAAAAAATTGTGTTTTCTTTTATTACCATACTGTTATACTACAACACTTACTTAATTAAAAAGAGGGTAAAGCGTGAACGATGAAACATTGCTTTAAGAGTCCAGAGGACTGCACACTGAGAAAATACAATGAGCAAACTAACCCGTTAGATATGTGCAAATTGATATATATAAACACATACCCATGAGTTACATACTTGGATATTTGATTAAAGAAAAGTTCACGAAGATATTTCTCAAGACAACTGCATATTATTGTGAGAATATTACGAACATGACAAACTCTCAGTTCGTAAAACAATATTCAAATGTTCTTACTACAAAATACGCTAAATGAAGAAGGTAATAATTTATATTTGTTCCTGCTTATTCACTGTCTACTATAGAACTTAGCAAACTTGCATAAGCATATTGCAACTAAACTACCACAGTTAAAAACTATTAATGCTTGCATCTAATAACAAATTACATAAAGTGGAACAATATAATTTTTTATTAAAATATTTTGGAGTAGAAGATCTGTGACAGTCACTTACACGAGTGCTTTAGCAGTACTGACAGAAACGTCTGCACGGTATTCATTAAATGCAGTTGAAAGGAAGCACAAAAAAGTCAAACCGGCCAAAACACTTAAAGAAAATGCAAATATAGCATTAGCACGTGATAACACGGTATTCATATTAGCTTTAATAAATATATTACACCTTGTATTAAACTACACGTGTTAACTACTTAAATGCAAGATTTCCGCCAGCATAACGCTGACGTTTCACACACCGCTACAAAGACAGGGAGGTTAAAATACATCAAACAGCAAATCTTAACTTCTGTTTCTGCTGTCAGAAAAGTGTTGTTAGGTAGTTCATTGATTCTGCCGCTAGTCCGCAATTTAAAATTAAATTTATGAAAGGAAATCATTTACTCTGATTAAATGAGAATTATCTGATTTAATCAGAGTAAATGATTGTTATTCGAGATCTTTTGTAAAACTTCGTTAATATCCTACTATTCTTTTATTTTTTTTTTTTTACATTATGATTCAAACTTATTTAAAAGAATGATTAATTTCGATGGGCAGAAAGGTGTAGCATGAGATGCCAGATTAGACATATTGTTATAGGATTTTAAGTTTTATTTCATCCCAATATATTAAAAATCTGCTTTACTGTGAGATCGAAATTAAAAATTATCCGAGAGAGGAATTCAAGAAGAAGATTCTAAGAAAGATCATTATTTACATGCAGAGAGGCTATTAGTATTTCTCTCGATCTAAGAATTTTGGTATTATTTACTTCTGTTAATTCTCAGCCATCAAATGGAGCAAAATAGTGGTAAGTATCATTTAAAATTTAAAAAAAATATATTAAAAAGACATTTGTAATATTTATTCTCGTATTTTATATCTGTGTTAAAACCAATGCTATCCGTATTAATTTAAATACTTATATATTGACTTAATTATTATTTACGAATGCAATGTTTCATGTCTTATTTCGTGTGTAAATATGATAATAATTACAACTCAAAGTAAGCAAAAGATTATTACTTTCATCGGCAGATAAATTTTTTAGTCATAATTCATTTTTATGAGAGAAAAATGCTTTATGAAATTTAATTGCATAATTTGGGAAATCGTCTCTACTCTTATATGCGCCATCATATAGATCATCAGATATGGCGATATGTGTTCTGCGCGGGGTTTTGGCACGATTGCGTGTTTTATGGCAACCCTTTTGACTTTGAATACTCTTTTGCTGGAGTGTTTTAATTGCTCGTTGGTTCGTGCCGTGTGTGTTTTGAAATGGCTATGTTGCACTGAGAGACGTGGTTGCAAGAGGGTCTGGGAGATTATTTGGCTAAAGTGCAGAATCGCCCACTTATCTGATTGGCGTAATAAATAAAAAAATAAATAAAATAATAGGATAAAATAGGCTAAACATTACTGAATGGAATCATAAGAGTAAATAACTATTTCAGATCATTATATAATTATAAAAAACGCTAAAACAAACTGAGGATGCCTGCATCGCTATTTCGCTACTTATCGCTCAAGCATAATTTCATCTCGTTGGTTGTTCAAAAGTAATTTTTATAATGAATGATGCTTTTCTTGAAAATTCTGAAAAGTGCAGAATCGCCGACTTATTGTTTGCCGCTTTTTACAGTGTAAAAACATCTGGTTTTCAATTTTGTTGATTTTTGAGTGAAAATAGGTCAATGTGTACATGGATAAAGTCAAGGGAGTGCGCAATACCATTTTGGCAATCTGGAATTTTTTTTTTAAGTGAAATAGGTCATGGTACATGGATACCGATATTGCAATTCTTAAAAACACACCAACAGTGGGCGTTCTGCACTTTAAAGATATTTTTAGTGGCTGGTATGATAGAATAAGGAAATGCTGATGCAGGATATTAAAGACTGGATTGAGCCTTTACAACTATTTTTTCGTATGGCTGACTCTACAGGATTAGGAAAAAAAGGTTTTGAATATTTATTTGTGACCCTAGTATATTTTCTGATATATAGTTGATTGTCTGGAGTCATATAAATACGATAATGATTACGGGTGCATGTTAAAAGCGGAATGAAATGGTATTCTAGCTGTTCGAAAAGCATCTTTCATGGTAGTGATTTTATTTATTCTTGTCTATTTTGTAGAATTTGTTCATTGTTTTTTTATAGAATTTCTGTCGTTATTGTTTTTTTTTTTTTTTTTTTTAATTGTTTGAAATTAATTTTAGTTTATTTTGTTGATTATATGTTCAAAACGTGGTTTTTGGAGATATTTTAGGCTTAAAGTTTGAAATGTAGACAAAAAACTTAGATAGTAATATGGCACCGTGGAGTTTCTCGCCAAACATTTTTGGCTAGAAATTTGGCGACTTGAGAGCACATATAAGAGTAGTTCCGGGAAATCTCAGATAAGCGGCACTTGGTGCAGTTTTTTCCGGTATCTTGAATCCCAAAAATTCGCCATATTCTTGGGAGAAATTTTTTGACGCCAAGAGGGAAATGGCATCAAAAGGCGCTTTCGAAAAATTCCCTTTTCAGCCCAATATCGGGGGAAAAGCTCTGTTGAATGAAAATCGCGTAAGGCAATGTAACGTTTGTGTTGAGAAGATAAACTGTACCACCCAACCAGTATAGTGGTTAGCATCCTTGACTGCCGTGCTGAAGGGCCCAGGTTTGAATCCCAGAGAAGGCGTGGATGTTTGTAAATGTTTAATGTCGATGCAGCATTGTGGCACTCTATGCAGCGAGCCGAAAGTCCTCTCATGTGGTTTGGTGGAAAGGGAGAGGGGTGGAAGACAATGCAGTGCTGTGTGTGACAAATTTAAAGAGAAAACTATGCAGGAAAAATGAAAAATACAGGAGCATGCACATTTAATAAATAGATATCTCGTACTTGTACACTTTTGCTTTTCAGGAAAAATCGAGAAATTACCAGAATGTGCTCGCACATTTAAAAGCTTATATAAAAGCGAGGAAAAAAGCACCTAAGTTCAGTTTTGTTTAGAAAACTGTAGTTTACTGTGGCAAATTGTGGTGAAATCAGATTAGCTTTCTCTATTTTGAATTACCGTATTTGACGGGATATAAGACGCACTGGCATATAAGACGCACCCTTATTTAGAAGGCCACACACAAGGAAAAAAAGTTTCCATAGTCCACAATAACCTTAAATGTGGTTTCTTTTAGTTCTCACGTTTAAAAGCCAAATAAACAATCATGAATGCAATTACCAAACATATGTTATTAAGAATTAACAACGGCAAGCTATTTTAACATGATCTGGCAATTCAATAATGAATAATGAAGGCAGCAATCAAATAAACAAAAAGCAGAAACAACAAAAAACACAGATCAAGGAAAACGTTGCCTATCATGAAATTATATTTAATCCTTCAAAACCAAAAAATCCTTTCACATCATCAATCAAAAACGAGAAAATCATCAGTCTCAAAGATTAAGCCATGTCTAGTACATGCCGTATTAAGGCGAAACGCAAAGGCTCATTAAATTCGTTATGGTTCCTTGATCGTACCTTACTACTTGGATAACTGTGGCAATTCTAGAGCTAATACATGCAGCAGAGCTCCGACCCTCTGGGGACGAGCGCTTTATTAGACCACTACTGTTTCCGTCATCGCTAGTATCACCTTCTTTGAATAATGCATCGTCTTCTGTTCCGTCAAGAGCATTACTGATTCCACACTTCTTAAAGGACTTAACAATTACTTCAGCCTTTTTGTCCTCCCAAGATCTTTTTAACCACTCACACACTTGTTAAATAGAAGGCCGCTTCTTCTACCTGAGGACGTGATGTGGCTCTCCTATCCACTTGTTCCATCGTTCTCGCAGTTTTTCCTTAAATGGCTTATTCATCGATACATCTAAAGGCTGCAATTGGCTAATCAGTCCACCAAGAATGACAGCTATCTGGGTTTTTCTCTTGCTTTATTTATGGTTTCAGTTCTATGGGCGCTAAACTGATCCAAAACCAAAAGACAGGGTTTTCTTGAGTCCACCAGGTCGCCTCGCCCATACGTTCTGTAACCACAGGTTCATTCTAGCTTCGTCCATCTAGACTTTCAGATGACCATGAACAATAACCCTTGGAAGTTTTTCTTTCGGATGAGTTTTTCTTTTGAATATGAAAAAGTTTCTTCATAATCTGATGGCATTTTCTGTACAATAGTTGTTTTTGTGTGCATTGATAAGCTTTGCCTTTCAGAACCTGTAGCACCAGCCTCAGACCCTGAAAAAGTTCTGATTCCCATGTTTTCTGCAATTCTTTGGCCCATTGATTATCATTTTGGTGAAACATCCCAGATTCCTCTTATATCACCCACATTTTAGGCATTTTCAAGTCAGGCCAAGATGGAGCTGGGATCGAAGGTATGTTTTTGTTTTAGCAGTCTTAAGTTGATCTTTCTGAGTCGCCAAGTGCGTATCATTATTCGGAGTTGGTGGACCGAATGCTTTGCTGCTGCTCTGTTTCCAGCACTTTGGATAGTTTAACAATCCTAGTGAATCTGAATTGTATACTTAATCTCTTATTTCTGTAGTATATTTTCAGGGATTTTTTTTAACAAGTTTTACCACCGATGATGAACGTTTATACGAGTAGCACGATACCGACACGCATCAGCTGAGTCAAAGAAATCTTTGTAAAGAGGAAAGGCTCCATAGACGTAATGTAACCGTCGAACCTGTTCGACTTCGACACAGCTTCGAGTTTTGGCGCTTTTGGCAACAGATATTTCCGCATGCGCAAAATAATTATGGTAGATGTAGAAAAGTTAGTGTCAGACCTTATCCGGCTAAAAATAGCATTCAGTATAAAGTTAACCTGTGTCCTTCACGTATAAGACTCACGTATAAGTAAATTTTTTGAGACCAAATTTAGGAAAAAAAGTGTGTCTTATATGCCGTCAAATACGGTAGTTATGTTGAATGTTGTTATTAGTTTAAAAGATAACTACTGTGAGATATTGGGATATTGTACGAATATCTAGAAAATTTAAGAATTTTGTTTTATTTGTTGTGATAATAATAAATTTTATTCATTTTTCATCGGATTTGTGCATTCAATTCATAACGAACATGTATTAACGAAACAATACAATACAAAATATATAAATTCTACATACATGAAAACTTGAATACAATGCAACAATATGTGAAAAAGGAATGAATTAAAAGGGAACTGAAAATACGAAGATATGAATATAAGGGAGTTAAATTTTTTTTTTTTTTTTTTTTGTTAATTATCAAAATTCTGCAGATGCTCATAATTATCAATTTCTTAATTAAATGTGTATTAGAAATTAAATGTATGTCAAAGTGCATTAGGTAAAGTAACTGGAAAACAGAATAAATATTTAAACATTTCTAGTATTAAAATATGGACTTTGTAAGAAAGTTAAATAACCTTAAAATAACTTTAGTGATTAAAAATGGAAAGCTTAATATGGCATACTAGCTGACACCCGACCGCTATCTATTTGAATGTGAACCTAGACTTATATGGACAAAATGTTTAATTTCAAACTGATAATTAATGTAAATTTTTTAAAATTTAAAGTCAGGAAATACAGTGCCAGTCAGTGAATCTGTCATGTACAGATTTCCACATCACCCATGAGGTACTGTGTATTGGGATTCGTCCCCATTATCTAACTTGGCGGGAACCCCAGTAGGCTTATACCACGAAAAATTGCCAATATAAAACTGCGTTTTATATATATTTAACTGTTATCATAAGTTTCATGAAAATAAATGTTATTATCTTTGTTATCAAATTTTGTAATTGATGATAATTATT